AGTTGTTTCTCTTATATTATTTCTAGTAATTTTAGTTACATATATTAATTAGAATTAACCCTTAGAAACCTTGACTAAGAAGTAAGCAGTAGTGAACTGTCACACCAGCATTATTTACAATGGCAAACTTACGAATACATTTAATAATTTCTGGAGATGTATGTTAACTCATGACCCAAATACCTTTTAGTTCTTCTCTAAAAGAATACTGTATAAATCTTTGTTCAGCAGTTAAAAGTGTGTAAATCTATGTTTGGTGCTTTATTTAGAAATGGTATGGATATTCAGTTAATTTAATTTATCATTTCGCAAAAGTTTAAAGCTTCAGCTTACCTGAAAGTTTTGGGGAAACTATCTTTAAGTACACACACCATAAAAGATAATTATTGCTAAAAAGTTCACCTAAAAACCTTTTATACTGCTTATATATATTTACTTGTTCTTAACAACTGTTTAGACTGCTTCATGAGACACAAAGTAAGCCATCAGCCCAAGCTATGTTTCTTGCTGACAAATTTTTTTTAAAGATTTTATTTATTTATTTGACAGAGATCACAAGTAAGCAGAGAAGCAGGCGGGGTGGGGGGGGGGTGGAGAGCAGGCTCCCTGCTGAGCAGAGAGCCCGATGTGGGGCTCGACCCTGGGATCATGACCTAAGCCGAAGGCAGAGGCTTTAACTCACTGAGCCACCCAGGTGCCCTTTGCTGACAAATTTTTGTAAGAGATAGCATGAACTCATAATAAACCACGTTTACTTTAGTAAACCAAGCTAGAATAAAAGTATTATATTCCATACTGATTAACTTCTGAAGACATTCCTTTTTTAATCAACCAACTTAAACTAGTTTTTATTTACTAAAGGTTAATACTAGATAACATGAATTTGAAAAACATTTGGGTTAGTTTTCTTTTTTAAAGATCACATTTTTATTTATTTATTTTATTTATTTATTTTTTAAGTAAACTCTACGTCCAACATAGGACTTGAACCCATGAACCCAAGATCAAGAGTTACAGGCTCTTGGGGCGCCTGGGTGACTCAGTGGGTTAAAGCCTGTGCCTTTGGCTTGGGTCATGATCCCAAGGTCCTGGGATTGAGCCCCATATCAGGCTCTCTGTTCAGCAGGGAGCCTGCTTCCCCCCCTCTCTCTGCCTGCCGCTCTGCCTACTTGTGATCTCTGTCTGTCAAATAAATAAATAAAATCTTTAAAAAAAAAAAAAAAGAGTTACAGGCTCTACCAGGTGAACCTGCCAGAGGTCCCTAGTTTCTATTATATTCCTGAGAATTCAATTAATATAAGGCACTTAATTTCTTCAAATCAATTAAGTAGAGCTTTTTTACGAATTAATTTTGTTGACATGGAAGATTACACCCAACTTCAGTACGTATGTATAGAATACATAAACATACAGACACATGCAAACTGAGACTTTACAGCTTCCATACACTTAAAATTTCCCATGAGCCCAAGTTCCAAATGATAATTCCCTCTTTTGTTTTTCTGCTGGTAAGAATTATCTCCTTGAGGTTGGGCGAGCCTGGTGGTAGGTATTATGGAAGGCATGTAGTGCATGGAACACTGGGTGTGGTACATAAACAATGAATTCTGGAACACTGAAAAGAAATTAAATAAAAATTTAAAAAAAAAAAAGAATTACCTGCCCTATATGTTAATTAAAAAAAAAAAAATTACCTCCCTGAATTTTGTACTTTAACTTTTATGTTTCAGAGGCACAAGGAAAAATGCACATTACAGGTTTTTTAAGATAAATCGTGGTCGGGGGGAGTATTGGAACAGGTGAACTTTGAGCTGCCTCTAGAGCTATATATTTAGTTTTGCAGAGATTTGTAAGATGAGCACAATTGCTCTCAATTCCTATAAAGAATAGGGTTGCAGCCTAAATGGCATCACAGATTGATCTACCCATCCAACCACATTGTCCTCAGTATTTTTTTTGTATCAGAGAGCTTTGGAATGTTTTAGTAAATCTTTTTACAGAGGCTTTAGGAGGTTTTTCTTTCCTTCTGGGTACATAGTTTCATTTTAGCTTGGAGGGGAGACCTAAAAAATCTTATCAGGCTCTGAATATCAGCTTCTAGTCTGGCCAATCTCCAACCACAGAGCTATTTAAACAACTCTTTCAAATATCTTGTCATTTTTCAGTTGGGACAAACAGCAGATGTTTTCGGGGATTAATGGAGTATGCCTTTGTAAAGTCCATATAAAGCATTTTAACAAAGGCCTCCTTTCTGAGTGCACATTTCAACCTTAGACCTTTACCTTAGAATGAAAAGCCTCTATATTAACCCCTCACATGAGCCTTCAGCTGATCCTTTGTAGGAAGGCCAAGGAGAAATGCTAGTCATCTGTTTCCTCAAGGGAGGTGGTGTTGGTTCCAGGGGACCATCCGGCTTGTCTGATAACTACAATATAATCATAATCTCATGGGTGGGAAGAACACCCCTTTGCAGCCAAACAAGGTCCCTTTGAGTGGGGTTGTGATGGATATCAATCAATCAATTAAGTTTAATTCAACTTAAAATTTAATTTGGTAGGGTCCTTAAAAGTCAAGGCTTTTAAGGGCTTTATAATTTTAAAAATATGCTTTTGTCTTGGGGACATGAATTATTTGGATGGGGGCCTGGGATATAGCTGCAAAGGACCTTGCACGGAAGGCTTGAAGCTGGCAGAGCCTGACTATAGAGCCCTGCAAAATGAGCCTTCTGTATAAAGCTTATTATCTATTATCTACCTTGGGTGCTTCTGTTAAATTTGTTCTCTGGCTTTTAGTATTTACATGAATTACCTGTATTCCCTGGGCTTAGAGATCAAGCCAGAATGCTCTCTGTACATCTTATAGGAAAAGGGAGGCTAAAATAAGTAGCTGGGTGTTTAAGGGATTTTCTGGGGAAGGTAGGAGAGTTTGGGAGTTAGAATTTGCTGAGGAGACAGGGCCAGATTTTAAGAAGGGAAATTTATGTTAGACAGGGACTTTAATTTTTGTTCTAAGTCTAATTTCTCTTCTCTCCTCCTCCATCTTATTGAGTCCCTAAAGCTTAGCTATTACATCTCTTTGTGTCTATTTTTTTTAACTTGGTTTTTCCATAGGTACCAATAAGATAATTATTTAGGACAAGGGCTCTCAAAAGTATTTTTCTTTCTCTCAAATATTGTCAATTCAAAATACCCATTGTCTAGCCATTGCCATTGGTAAGCAGGATCTTATATTATTCTCTAGTGACACAAACCAATAAGCCTTTTTATGGCTTAACCATGAATATAAGAGGTGTCCCAAAAGACGGTACCAAAAAATGCAGCCCTTATAAGATCCAGAAAGTTTACTCCCAGAAAGAGTCTAAGATAGTAAAGCCCTTTGTTGTTACAGGCAGTAAGAATGGTGTAGTGAAAACACTGTCTCCAGTTTCCTGTGAGAACATGAGGCACCTCTACTCATAGACCTGTTAATCTGTGACACCAGGCAGGTACTACTAGAATGGGACCTTTCCAGCACTAACAAAAAGCAGTGAGAATGAGATGGCAGAAACCCCTTATGGACCAGGACCCCTGTAACAAACTCTCCTGAGAGCTCTCACAGTCTGACAGAAAGTACTGCTTGTGACTTAAAGTTGCAGAACCCCAGGCTACTCAACTGGCCACTAAGGTGCATGTGATACATGCAGAGAGAACATTCTCACTGGTCATAAGGACAAGCTCTCAGGACATGAACAGGATGAAAGGAAAACCCCTCATAGGCACATTAACAGCTTGAGCTGAACCTTTGGTGTCTCAGAGCCAAATTGTTCCAAAGAGGGATGTGCTGCTGGGTTGGAAATTGTGAGGTATTTTACAGAGTTCCTTGCATGGAAATTTTCTTGAGTTTGACTGGCATCAACCTAGCCAGCAGTGTGACTAACTCACCCTAACACAGGAGTCTTTGGGTTAGGCAGGGAGTGCTCTAACAGCTTTTAAGTTCTCAACCCATGCCCACTAGTTTTGCAACTTTGGTTTCCAAGCTCTTCGTTAGTAACTGCCTTCACCTTGTGTGCACATTGACCCACAGCAACATTTGTCTATACTGGCCTGGTGAGAACTGTGAAGTTACCAGTCTGTGAGTCCAGCCTGTACAGCAGGCTTATAGGGCCCAGGCCTGCATCTTACCTCGTGGTTTTCATTCTGACAAATGACACAACAGACAAGAGCAAAAAAAAAAAAAAAAGCAGTTACCATCTCCAGGAAGAAACACATGAAAAAAACGTTAAGAATACTCATAATAAATCTTTACTGGTTACTATACCAAGGAACTGGTTCCAAGATATTTTCTCCTGCTAATCTAAACTTAGAAACTGGGTGGAAAAGATTCTCACCACTTGCTTCAGCTAGATCCTGCAGGCAGAGATTCAGGAGCCTGACGTGGTAATAAGAATTCTTACCTTCTGCTGCACCTGTCAGAGGTCCCAGGCTCTCCCTGCTGCCACAGCCCTTGAATAGGCAATATGCAGCCAGTGAAGTTTCTCCTGGCTAGCTCACCAACTACGGGGGAGGAAAGATTTTTCTCCTTCTAGTTCTTTTGGCTAGTCTATTAATTAAATTGACATAAGGCAGATTAATAGGAGAAAAGCAAGTTTACATATGTATGGGAGCCCCAGAAGAAAATGACACCCAAGGACAAGTTGGGCAATTGAAGCTGTGGGTCATCTGGAGCTAATGAGTAGGCTAGGGGCCGGGGGCTTTAAAGGAAGGCGGGTGATTCACAGAACAAAAGAAGAACAGATATTTGGTCATTAGATGTTTGCCTTTCCATACAGTGGTCATTTAGATAAAAATTTATCTCTAGTAATACTTCTCTTTCTGGGCCAGATCCCCTACTTAAATTCTTTAAGGTAGTTAAGGGAGAAGTAAAAACCTCCCCTTCACTAGAATATAGACCTCCTTCCAGCAGAATCCACATCCCAGTCTTCCTGTGGTAATGTGCCTTTCTTCTTTATCTGTTTATTTCAGCTGAGGATGGAAAGGAATTGGTCAGCCCTTGTTTGTCTCCAGGTTTCACAGGAGAGTGGGAACATGCTGAAATAACATACAGAATTTCAGGACAGAAGGCAGGTAAAGTGGAGTTCTCATTTGTCATTGGTGTGTAAGGGTTAAGAATGACAGACTGTCCTCTATCCCATACCTTCCAGATACCTCTGAGAACCAGGGAGGCTGTTGTCAGATGACCTCATTCACAGACAAGCCCATACTTGTCCAGGAAATGGAAGTAGCTCTGTGAACCGTCAGGGTTGCAGGAGGCCCTTGCCAGAACACACTGGAAACCGCTGGCAAAGGGTCTCTCTGCACAACGCTCCCTTCTCTGTTGCCACATGCTTTCTTTCAAAAGACTGCATTTCCTAACAAGCCTCCAGTGAGGAAGGACCTGAGCATTCTGCCGCTCTAAGACAAATGGTCAAGTTGGGGCTGTTGGCCCAGTGGCAACATGAGCTCATCTCTGAATTGAGGGAGAAACAGCTTCTCCTTCAGCAAAATCACCGGTCACCTCGGACTGCCTGGTGAGCATAGGAGAGGCTGCTCCAAGCTGTGTAGCCCACGGCCTGTGACAGTAGGTGTGCTGTCCCACCAGCTTGGCCCCTCTCGCCCCATGTGGGTGGTCCTTGTTGCCCTGTGCTCCTTTAGTGGTGCTAATAGAAACATTCAAATACTGTTTCCAAGCTGGACACATTGGGCAAGAATTTAGTCTGCCTTTGGTGACAGAGCTATTTCCACCCACATTTCTGGCACCAAATGTGTGTGAGTTTTCCCCAAACCAGCCAATTCTCCATCCATGAATAATTCTATTCCCACTTTCCCTGGAGTTAATGCAGACCACAGAGGTTAAGGGCTCAGTCTCACCAAGGCTCCCCCTACGCACCCTCCACTTCAAATGCAAATCGCAAGTCCTAGGCCTCCTGTATTTCTGATCAGCCAACTACAAATTGGGGGTTCCTACAACCCCCCAGATAATTTGCCAGAATAGCTCACAGAACTCAGGAAGGCACTTTACTTATTATCACTATTTTATTATAAAAGATACAACTCTGGAACATCCAAATGGAAGAGATGCATAGAGCAAGATGTTGGGGAAGGGGTGCGGAACCTCCACATGCTCTCTAGGAGCGCTACTTCCCAGCTCCTCCATGTGTTCGCTACCCAGGAGGCTCATGGAACCCATCCTTTAGGGTTCTGGGAAGCTTCACTACACAGATGTTAATTAAATCACTGGCTGCTGGTTTACCTCAATTGCCAACCCCCTACCCTCCCTGGAGGTTTTGGGGGTGGGGCTGAAAGTTCCAACCTTCTAATCACATGGTTGGTTCCTCTGACAGCTAGCATCCATCCTGAAGCCACCTGGGACCCACCAACAAGTGTCCACTCATTCACATAAACTCAGGTATACTTGAAAAAGAGGTTCATAGTGGATAATGGAAGAGGCTCATCTCATCCCCATCACGCAGGAAATTCCAAGGGTTTTGAAAGCTCTGTATCCAGAACCAGGAACAAAGACCAGATATTTGTTTCTTATTATCTAGTGACCATGGAGTTCACTCTGACTCAGCCAGCCACTCATGCACGTGATAGCATCAGGTCCTGCAGCAGCCCCTGGCACCCAGCTGATACTCCAGTGTGAGGAGTTATTAAAACACGTGAGGAAGTAACTTGTAGGAAAAAAGGGAGGAGGGCTGAAGAGAAGATTGCAGTTTTAAATATGATGACCAGGGAAGGCTACATGGGTGGTATTTGAGCCAAAACATGAGGAGCTGGGGAATGGGCCACATGGATCTAAAGCAGTACTTTTCCAGACCAGAGGAGCAGCGTGTGCAAAGGCCCTGGAGTGGCTGCTGTATTTAAGGAAAGGGGGAGGTTGTATGGCTGTCCTGATACGGGAGAGTGGAGAGAAATAAGGCCCAGCAGGCAAGGGCATGCGGAGAACTGGCTGGAGCTGCCTTGAGGCTTTGGGCAGGTCTGCTGGTGGAGATGGGAAGCTGATTCTAGGGGTGGGTAGTGGGATACTGACATCTGTTTACCTCTGGGGCTCTCTGTTGTCCTTCTTCCAATCGGGTTCAATGATCTCAGCTATGTGATTGACAAGCTGTCTGTTAGGGCTCTGATTTCCTCATCTTTGACATAAGGAGGTTGTAGGCCGCACCTCCAAAGTGACTGATGGGACAGAGTAAGGCCCTGCATGTTTAGAGCTCAGCAAGGGCCAGCGGAAAATAAACGGTGTGAACCTGAACCCACTGGGCTAATGTCAGGACAGCTACCTGTGCCCAGCTGGAGGCTGGTGTCCTCCAGGCTTGAGGGCCATGCTATCTCTAGCGACCTTCATACTTTGGGTTTCTCTCCCTTGATCTGAGCCTGCAGTGCCATGGCTCCTGTAAGGTTCCTGTTGGCATGGGTGGTGTTGATGAGCACCCAGACCCAGGTGCCATGCAGGCTTCTTGTCCCGCTTCACCCTCCAGGTCCAGGTCTCAAGTCATTGGGAAGGGCCTCGGGGGTTGTGTGGCCCAGGCGCTGAGCCCCCTAACCATTGTCTTTGTGCTTTTCTTTCGCCCCAGCAGTGAACCTCCATGAGCTATGTGCCAGCAGAGTATCGGAAATCCTTCGAAACAAAGTGCACAGAACGGAAGAAGTGAAGGATGTGGATTTTTATGCTTTTTCCTACTATTACGACCTTGCTGCAAATGTAGGCCTCATAGGTAAGGGTAGGGCTGAGGTGTAGATTCTCTGGATAGAGGGCCCACAGCAAAGAGTAATCATGTTATCAGTCACTCTCACAGTAAGAGAAATAGAGGAGTGTCTTGTCATCCATATAGGAAGTAGTAAGCTCCCATTTTATAAATAAATCAGGTCTTTGAGCCACTTAGTAAAGTTACATTGTCAGTACAGGAACAGTTAATTGCTGTCAAGTTGTTCTGTTCTAAGGCAGAACTGACCTACTTATGTAACTGACCCTTGTCGTTCCTGCCTGGCCCCAGGTTTCTGGCTGAGGGAGCCCTTTGTGACATGGTCACATGGCCATCTTTTCCATATAGCACCCAGGCTGGCATGGGGAGGGGTCAGCGCATTCCACAGACCACCCTTAGGAGCTTATGGGCCCTGTGGTATCTCAAGGCTCACTGAGCCACCTGCTGCTCGGGCCCAGTGTGCAACGCATCCAGCCAGGAGTGGGTAGTCCAGGTAGAAGGTGACCTTGTCACGCCTTGCTTGGGCCCGGGTCTCTCTGGCACAGAGCAAGGTCCCTGGGGTGCCTCCCAGTAGCTGGTCCTGTAGCTACTTGGTCTCTTGGGCCTGAGGGCCCCTGTGGGCTTCCCATAACTGGAGCAGCAGTTCGTTGATCTGTACTCTCCTGGTTGTGCCACCAGCTATGGACATCACAATGCTCAGGGTCTACTACATGCAAACCTGGCCTGCAGTGTATTGGGGCTCCACCCTTTCAGGCTAGCTCAAAAGGACCCCTCTGCAGTATCACCTCATCAATTTGGGGCCCCTCACCTTGCCTTTAGATTGCCCTTCCATTAAGGGACTGACACTATCCCAGAGTGACCTCAGGAGGAACTGGGCTGTTCAGAAAGCTCTTCCAACTCCCTTTTGTGGTCACACATGGCTCTGAAGGAGCTGCTTGGGTCTGTTTTAAGAAATGGAATCCATCTTCAGTGATGATATTTGCTGACTGAGGAAATGCCTAAAGTCAAGGAAAAGTCAGCTCACTGAGAAGTTGCCTCATACAAAACGTAAATGTGTGGGACAGCTCGAGAACCCTCTATCAAATGTAGAGGTTTTCATGTGCATTGAAGAAACAGTGGCCATTTGTAAGATTTGGGGGGACACAGCTTTCATGCCTGCTTCCCTGGGAATGTCACAGAGGCCTAGGGCCACTCTCTTCTTGAGAGCCCTGTAAAGGCTCTGCCCATTTGATCTAAGACCTGACAAACCACTTCTTGGCTTTTTTTTATAGCACTTTTTTCCCCACATTCAGAAAATTGATACCCAGAATACCGTTGCTGAACTCACGGCCACAGTTCATGGAAACATCTCTGATTCTGTGCTTTTGTTTTTTTAACTTAAAATGAAGAGATTTCTCAGTCTGTGGGGCCCAGGGCTCCTGGTGACCTTCCTGTGAGGGACCCTCGAAGACCCGTGACTGCTAATCATCCCCTTGTGGTCTTGCACGGAACAGTTGCCCAGCCCCCAGCCACATCACCTCAGACACATGACCAGTGCATTGTGGGGCTGCTGCCCTGCTTATACCCAGGCTTGCAGCCAGCCTGGACTCTCCACCCCATGTCATCCTCTCACGGGTGCCAGCCTCAGGGCCTTGGTGGCATCTCTGGTTCAGGGATGCTGGTGCAGACCAGGTGCTTGTTCTTGTCTAACAGATGCAGAAAAGGGTGGCAGCCTCGTCGTAGGAGACTTTGATATCGCGGCCAAGTATGGTGAGTAGCAGTTTCCCTGCCGGCTGAGAAGGGCCAGGGTGGGAGGCAGGAACCCTGCCCCACCATGTGGCAGGTGCAGCTTGGTACTTGTGAGGCAGTACTGGAAGTTCCAGGTTTGGTTCCCGATTGAGCCAGCCTAATGTGTGTTCAGAGGTATGAGAGGGTACTTGGGGGGGTCACTGTCCTGTGGGCCCAGACCATGGTCTGCCTCATCCTATGTGACCACAGCAGAGGAAGGGGGAGCCTCAGTGTCCTTCACTTTGAAAGTGCATAGTTCTAGTTCTAGGGTTGTTAGGAATGGGCTCCCTGGATTTCACTTTTTCTGACCTCTTCACTGTAGCTCAGGTGATTGTCACAGGGATCTCCCCTGAAAGTGTCCCAGCAAATTCACAATTGTCACAGCAGACTCAGCTTGTGGGGGGTGAAGAGCTCTTCCCCTTGAATTTACAGGTGGCTGACCCCCTTCCTCTCCTTTGTCCATCACAATCCAGCCGGATGGGGTATGAAATGAAGGCTGGCTATAAATATTCTGCTCTTCAGTGCTGTTCCCAATTACAGATCAAAAGAGTTAAACTTCATTTGTTTCTCTATAGAAAGTCCTTTCTCCCCAACTCCCCCCAAGTGGCTTTTTTTTTAAGCTTTCTTATCACTTATGGGTTTATCCCATGGACACCTGGTATCCATGACTCTTCAACAGGAAAAGGTTCTGAGTGGAATTTTGGGAAATCTGTTGGTGGGTTTGTTCATCGGCTTCAAGAATAAGAATAGAATGTTCTGAGACAGTTTTGTTTGTGTTTACATTCCCCAGAAAGCCCAGATTCACACCTGGAAAAAGTGTCCAGAGTCACAGGCGCAGGGCTATGCCCTGTGAGACTGTGGCCTTCAGCTCCTGACGCTAAAACAAGACATACAAGTCCTTCTTGGTCTTGGAGGCCAGGCCCAGTGGAGGCTGGTTCGCCTTGATATCCTACCTTTTGGTGTACTCTTGGTGAATCACCTTCTTGCTATAGGCTGTAGTCTTGTCTAAACCAGTGAGGACCTGGGGCCAGCACAGAGCCTAGCATAGGGTGGGCACCTGGAAGTGTGTAGAGCCAGTCTGCCCAAGCCCTGCCCCCTCTGCCCCCACCTGGAATCTGGGAAAGGGCTCTCTCACCCCCAGTGTGCCGGACGGCAGAGACCCGGCTGCAGGGCAACCCCTTTCTGTGCATGGACCTCACCTACATCAGCCTGCTGCTCCAAGAGTTTGGCTTCCCAGAGAACAAAGTGCTGAAGGTAAGGACTGTCTCTAGATTACCCCTTTTGCCCTTTATGGCCTGAAGGGCTGGGGGTACTGCTTCCAGCCTCCCAACCATGCCCACTCTGCCCCTCCCTTTGTGTTTTCAAGCTGACTCGGAAAATCAACAATGTTGAGACCAGCTGGGCTCTGGGGGCCATTTTTCATTACATCGACTCCCTGAGCAGACAGAAGAGTCCAGCCTTATAGCAGCCAAGCCGCCCTGGCCAACCTCACAGAAGTGGCTCCGTCTCCATGAGAACAGACCTTCATGAGAATAGACCTTTGTGGAACCCCTTGACATGTTGGGAAGAAGCTGCTACTCTCCCTTTGGCCTTGCAGAGTTGCCCCTGGACGGGCAGAGGGCTGTAGTGTGACCCAGGCCCAATGTCTCTTGCCTTGGCTCCAGGTGGACAGTGAACCAGATAGGGCAAAGGACACATGCCAAGGCCAGGGTGATGCAGCCACACCATCCCCGACCTGTCCCTCTCTGCAGGATGGAGTGGTTGTAACGTGTTTCTGTGATAAGAGTCTTGTTTTATCTCCCTGCCCCTGTCTGGTCCCTCCCCCCATGCCCAGGACAGACCTTCACCTTCTCCCCAGAGACTCGGTGGGGAGTTTGTACAGGCTGCCTGGCTGCTCTCAGGGAGGGCTGGGTGGCAGCCACCATGCCCTCTGGGACAGGGGTTCTGTCAGACTTGAATGTGTTTGCCTCCTCCTTGGATGTAGATGTGTGAGGTCATCCAGAGGTCTGTTTTTTCAGGTTCTTGGATGGCTTGGAGCTGATAAGAGTTGGCCCTGTGAATGGGAAGAGGGGCTGGGGGAAATAACTCTCGTGTACCCCAGCCCTACAGAGGAGGTTTGATTGTGAGCGTGAACTGCTTGCAATATCTATGGCTGTGCTGTGTGAGTGATGTCTCCATCGTGTGGTGCTGAGTGTTTGTGTAGCAGTTGTGTTCTGAGCCCCAGTGGATGTATCGCTACCGTGAGCCATTTGCAGCTGAGCAGTGTTGAAGACACATACCAGTCCCCTGTGGGTCAGGCAGGCTGCAGTCCCTGGAGCTGCCGTTCCTGGAGCTGCCTTCTGGCTGTGCTGGGGTGTGGGGCCATGTCCATCCACAGGACACTGGGAGCTCCACAGGGCACTGGCCCAGACTCTACATTGGGGTGCAAGATCTGTGAGATCTGGTCCCCTGGATCACAGTCGTTCCTGTGGTACATGTATGGTATGTGGAATAAGCTAAACATTATGTGTTTCACTCAAAATAAAGGGTTTACAAGGGTTTCTGGCCTGGCGACTCCTCTCAGTGAGTGTCGGCAGTGTTCATCTACCCCAGCACTGATGGGAAAGCCCCTGAGGTCCCTGTTTACTGTAGCTGGAACAAAGAACTGCCCAGGCTGGGTGACAGGTGGCACATTAGGTCTCCTCAGTGTGCCTTTTGAGGAGACAACCACAAGACACATGGCGGCCACTCTCAGGCACTCCTGTGTCCCCGTGGTGGCAGGCTCTGTGGAGGCCCAGGCTGTTCCAGGGGAGCTGCTTGTTTTCCCAACAGAGCTCCCCTCCTCCCTGGGCCTGCGACCTGCAGCACCTGCTACATGGTGTGTTCAATGCAAACCTGGCTCTAATCTGGGACAGCTGGAAAGGGGTCGCATGCCAGGAAAAGACTGGGCAGGAGCACAGGGTCTGGCCCCTTGACCACCCAGGGCCACAGCAGGACCATGATGGACGTGACTGCCGAATGAGCCCACAAGTGGAGGCTCGTTGGGAAAAGGGTTCTGCAGAATGCTGCAGAAGGTTGGTTTAACTCCTCACCTCTAAAAGCCCTTTGTTCCCAGTCCCCACAGGCAGAGGCGGGGAGGAGTCCAAGCCTAAAACCTTCTTTGATGTTGAGGAAGTGCTGTGCCCACAGGACATGCCAGGGGAGCAGTTCTCCCCTTTTCTGAGGGTCCTAATCTGGTGGTCTGATCATCACTGCCCCAATTCCAGAAGACTGGAGAGAAACACCCCCCCAACCCTGGACAAAAACCACTGAAAAAATAAGGCTAACCACCCTCTGCCCAGTGGTTTCCCCAAAACTTAAACCCTGGGGCAGAGGTCCAGAGGTGTACATGTGACAGGAGCAGAAGAAAACAAAGCAGGAAAGGTGCTTCCCCTAAATAAAAAGCCACCTTTGGGCTACAAATCCTTCCCTTGACAAGGGCAGGAAAATCCAGCCTCCAGCACCTCATCACCCGTGCCTGGGTCTCCCCAGCCTTTTCCTTCCATAATATCTAACAGTTTTAAATATTTAAAGAACTCCAGAGGCCGGGAATCAAATATGCATGAAGGTAAAAGTGAAAATTTATTTGGTCCATTTCTAGGTTAGTGATCTCACATCTGAAAAAATTGAAACAACTGGAAGTCTCTCAAAAGATCACCAAATAAGTCCTGGAATATTTTTAGGCCCAGCAAAGTATGCAAGTCATTTTGCTCTGTCTTTTGTGATTATAAGGTAGGCTCTTGTTTTTTTTAAAAAGTAGCTATATAACGCATATCCGAGCATATAAAGCATGCAAACTAGGGGTACAGTAAGGATGTCATGTCATCACCTCTGCTGTGCCCCACCTCACAGAAAACATGTGCATCTGTGTGCTCAGATCTTCCTGGCACACCACACACACTACCTCCTGCCCACATGTCCTGCACCTTCCTGTTCTCAGAACAGCTGCATTATCAGTGCACACTGAGTTGCCTCTGTCTTGCAGTGGTTAGTGGCAGTCCTACATCTGGCTGACAAGACCCCATGGCATCAGGTGGTTTCCAGTCCCACATCCCTGTGCATGAGCCCTTCTGACATTGCCAGATCCAAGGGCTGAAGTGTTTTAAATTATGGCTGTGTTGTCAGTTTTCCCTTCAGTTCCACTGGCAGCTTCTGTGCCAGCTTCCTGAGCCCTCACCAATAAAGCTACAGCCAACACTGTTAACTCTACCTTACTGGAGGGTAGAAAATAACTGGTAATTTTACTGTGCACTGACCTAATTCATTTTTTCTAAGATTTTGCTTATTTGTCAGAGAGAAGGGAGCAGAGAGAGAGAGAGAGGCAGGCAGAGGGAGAAGCAGGCTCCCCACTGCACAAGGAGCCTGATGTGGGACTCAATCCCAACACCCTGGGATCATGACCTGAACTGAAGGCAGATGTTTAACTGACTGAGCCACCCATAATTCATCTTGTTTGTATGTCCAAGAGCATTTCCTTTTCAATGAAACATCCGTCCCACTGTCCCATACCAATTTTTCTGAGACACTGTGGTCATTCTCTTACTAGTTTTAGATTTTTATACATTAAGGAAATTAACCATTCTGATAGAAGTGTTGCAAATTTTTCCTCATTTTGTTATTATTTTTTTACTATATGGTGTTTTCTTCAATGCACATTTTTACTATTTTTATGTATTTATATTTTTATACAACTTTATTACAATGACTTCCAGGTTTTGTGTCATAATTAGAAAGGCTTCTCCACTGAGATAGTTGTAAAAGTCAACAAAACAGTGTTGTAGTGGGGTTTTTTTTATTACCTTAAGAACTTCCAGTGCATGCTTATGAACACCCTCAGGCACAGCAACTCATTGTTTCAAGGTAGATTTGATTTTTAGAACCATTTCAGGGTCACTGGAAAGCAAATGTGATATTCAAACTGGGATAATACCATTTTTGGATAAAATCAAGTCTGGATATAAAGTACTGAGGCTCTTTCAGAAGTGTGCGGAATCCTAGCAGTGTCAGGAACAGTCTCCCCAGGGAGCCACACTGCACGTGCAGCATAGTAAGGTTGTTTTCATGACTTGTTTGGAGAGCATGAAGCATGAGGAATGACTGAAGCCCCTGGGACAGTCAGTTCATGCTCATGGAGGAAAAACCCCCTCCTCCTCTGCTGCCCACTCAGTCCTGTGTGCTCCATACCTCCCTCTGACACTAGTTATTCAGGGTCTACCCCAGGCGCAGCAGGGCCGTGACACCAACTGGGTGGCCTGACCCTGTCTACCTGCAGTTGGTGTAGACCACACAGGTACCCCCACCCCCACTTCAGGCTCTAGGCACAAATCCAGCTTGCCACCTGTGCTTCTGACCAGCTGGCTCTAAGTCCATGGTTTCCATGACCCCTTTCTCAGATTCCATAGTTGCTAAAGAGGCTCACAGAATTCAGAAGAAAAATTTACTTACTATTGTTGATTCACTACAGTGGATACAAATGAACAGTTCACTGGAAGAGACACAGGGCAGGTCATGGAGGCAGGAGTCTGGAGCTTCCATGTCCTCTTTGGGCATGACACCCTCCTAGCACCTATATGTGTTAATTAAACCAGAATTAGGGAGCCTGGCAGGCCCTGCCCCGCTGGAAGAGCATGCAACTAGTAATCTCAGGGTTGTAAATTCCAGCCCCCCATTGGGTGTAGGGGTTACTTAAAATCTTAGAACAAAAACCAGAAGCTCTCCAAACCCCTACTTGGGATTTTTATAGAGGTTTTATTATGTGGGCTTGATTAAATAATTGGCTGTTGGTGATAAGGCCAATCTCCAGCCCTTCTTTCCTCCCAGAAGTCAGGGATAGGAGAGGCTGAAAATTCCATCCTTCTTTTTGTTGTTGTTGTTGTTAAGATATATTTATTTATTTTAGAGAGAGAGTGTGTATGGCGTGAGGGAGGCAGACTCCCCACTGAGCATGGAGCTGGACACTGGGCTTGATCTCACAACCCATGAGATCGTGATCTGAGCTGAAACCAAGAGTTGGACACTCAGCTGACTGAGACACCCAGGCGCCCCTGAAAGTGCCAACCTTCTGATTACATGGTTTCTTCCCCTTGGCAACTGTCCCCCGGCACTTTGTTCCCCAGAGGCTCTCCATAAATCACCTCATTAACATAAATTCAGATATGGTTGAATGAGCTGTGTTGAATGGAACCTGGGACAAAAGACCCAAGTATTACAACAAAGATGCTCCCATTACTCTTAACGCTTAACCCCAAGGGTTTGGGGAGCTGTGAGCTAGGAGCAGGAATGAAGGCCAAATCTGTTTTCCTGTTACAAATCACGTGTGCAGTCCTGGAAAGAGAGGCTTTAGGGTGGATGGGACCCTGACGGCATCTTCATTACTATGAGGATTGTGAGATCCTGGCCTTGCCTGTGTTGCTGCAGAGGCCAGAGCTCAGACACGTGGGCACAAGTTACAGGGAACTGTTTTCAGATTTCTGTCTAACAAGGAAAGATGTCCTAAAAGACAGGGTCTTAGCCGTGTGCATCACTGCCCTGTCAGCACACAAGGGTGCTCAAAAAGGGATTCCTGCCCAGATAAGAGGTCGGAATCAGGCACCAGCAAGGCCTCTTCATACCCAAGATCTTTGGATTCGCCTAGAAAATGATCTTGAACATCATGACCAGGTAAGCGTACTTGCATGTAATGTCCCTGAATTTGAATTGAGATAATGACAGTGGCCTTTGTTGTGGAGTGCTTTACTGTGTGTCAGGTATGAGTGATTGCATCGTTGTGGCACCCATGAGCAGGTACTGATCAGGGGGCCCCAAGGAGCTCAAGGTTAGTGAGGAGTGAATGGCGCCACTCAGACCCAGATCTGGAGGCTTCCAAACCAGTGTGCCATATTGCATGCAAAGTCAAAGGTGTTAAAAGAGGAATTCTTCCTCCTCACATCAGGCCTTGCACAAAGCTGTTTATCAAAAGCAGGTCTCCCTGCTAAAGAATCAATTATCATGGTAATAATTTGTTTTGTAATATTTAGAAACATAGTTATACAGTCAAAAGAAATTAAAACTAACTGGGCCTAAGTGTCCCTTTATTGTTTTGACTCCTGATCCTACTTTTCTGTGTTATTGATTGGTGGATAAAGGTTTCTGCCTAAGAGCTTAAGTGCAGCTCTGTAAATCTGCATGTCGGTCTCCGGATTTACATAGTGCAGAGCAGACATCCCCCTATATGGCGTCCTGCCTTGAGAAGCTGCTCAAGGTCAGAAGAGCGCCAGAGTCACGTTTATGGTGTGGAACACATGGCAGTGGGATGGCTCCAAACAGCTTCCAAGGTGTGAGGTGCTGAAAAAAGTAGCCTCGTGGTTTCCCAGATTCATCTGGAGGTCAGCTAAGGATCAGGTGGTTTTGCAAATAAAAATGCCAAAGTTTAGAAGGCCACAGGGCTTGTCCTAAAGCAACAAGGAGAAGTGGGAATGTAAACCAGTGTTTTCAGCTTGCTGGGGATGAAGAGATTTTAAGGACTCTCCATACACTGGAACA